AAATGCTCTGTGGAGTCCAGAGGCCCTTGAGAGTCCAGACCTGTGCTTTCTTTCAGTCTCCATACCGCAGCCAGAGTAATGTTGCCAACATACAAAATCTGATTCTGCCACTTCACAGCTCCAGATCACCCTCAGAATTGAGCCCCTTGACCCTTCATGACCCCACTTCTCTTCTGTTACACTCAGGCCCAGGACAGCCTGGGAAACACTCTCTGACTTTCCAAACTCTGTGTAGTGCTCAAGAGAAAACAATTTTCATGGTCTAGGCAAGGGAAGTGGAAGAAAAAGAAACCACTCAAAAAAAATATTTCCAAGGTATAACAGACCAGGAAGGCTGCCAGAAGGGGAAGGCAGGGGAAAGGCACGGGTGCCAGCTCACATTCACTCTTGGTGGGTCCTGGCACTGATCACATCCTCCTGTATGTTCTCTTCCGCTGTAAAACCTGGCGGTTGGAAGACAGAGAAAAGATCCTGGGTGTGAAAGTCTTCAGTAAACTGTAAAGTGGGAGGGAAGGGATTGAGTAGCTGAGTAGCTGAGAGAACATGAGAAATCAAGATATGGCTGGTGACTAAGGCAATAGGATTAGGGCACAGAGGAGGAATGGTTTGGGGAAGAGGCTGGGGAGCAAAATGATAAATCCATTCCTTCCTTCCCTTTTTATTCCCCCCCAATATTGGGGATTAAAACCAGGGACTCTCTATCACTGAGCTACATCCCCAGCCCTTTTTATTTTTTATTTTGAGACAGGGTCTCCATAAGTTGTGAGTTTGTGATCCTCCTGCCTCAGCTTGCAGAGTAGCTGGGATGACAATCATGTGCCACCATGCCTGGCATCTATTCATTTCTTCAGTATTGGCCTCTCTCTGTTGAGATTTAGAAAAGTCCTTGACAAAGTTCCCTGATAACCGCACGGTGTGGAACAGAAACTGCTGGTTTGTGAATTGATGCCTTAGTTTGGAGCAGCCACTGGGGCTCCCACTGCTCAGGCTCCTCATCAATGTTAACGTGAAAAGACATGGTCCCTAAAGTGGGCTCTTGATAAGCTTCTTGGAGAGATTAGAATCTGACACAAGCAGTTAGACACCAAAAGAAGGCAGCACGGAATGAAGGGCCAAGAGGAGACTGAAGATATACAGGAAAAACAAAACTCAAATTCAGTTTCTCTTACTACATTCTCCCAGCACAGATCACTTCTAACACCAGACAGGTAGGGTTTTCCCACACACATGAAGCAGGCAACCAATTACTGGTATAAATCAGTGTTCCCACACCTCGGCTTTGACTAATTCACTCCAGTGGCTCACAGAACTCAGGGAAACATTTATATTTACTGGTTTATTATAAAGGACACAAATGATGATATGCATAGAGCAAGGTATGGGGGAAGAGGCATGGAGATTCCATGCCTTTCCAGAACCTCCATGTGTTCAGCTATCCAGAATCTCTCAGAACCCTGTCCTTATCTTATTTCCCTCCAGTGCTTACCTGTAGGTAAGTGCTCTTCCACAGAGCCACACCCCCAGCTGCATCCCTTTCCTTCAGGTTTCTTATGGAGGCTTCATTACATAGGCATGATTGATCAAATCAGTAACTATTGGTGATCGACTTAACATTCAGTCCCTCTCCCCTCCCCTGAGATTGTGGTGGAGCTGAAAGTCCCGATGTCTATCCTGCCTGGATCTTTCCCATGACTATCCCTCATCCTGAAGCTACCTAGGGACTGCTAGTCACCAGCAATCATTAGTACACACACAAAAAAAATGTCACTTTTTGAGGCAGGAGGAGTTCAAAGCCAGCCTCAACAATGGCGAGGCACTAAGCAATTTGGTGAGACCCTACAAAATAGGGCTGGGGTTTGTGGCGCAGTGGTTGAGGCTTTCTGTAGGAACTGGGACAAAGGCAAGATCTGGGAAGATCTGCAAGGAAAGAGAACAGCCTGGACAAAGGCCTAGAGAGGGAATGTTGGTGACATATGCAGGGTATGAAAAAAATCACAGGGGTGATTCTGGAGAGGTCAGTGAGGGGCCAATGGTAGAGGGTCTTCAAGCCCAAGTCAAGTGGTTTAGGACTTCACTAGGCAAAGAAACCAATTCAGTGTTTTAGAGCAAAGTGATGCACTACAAGATATTTCAGGAGGAAGTTTTGACTGCTAATGTGTGTAGAGTGGATCAGTGGGAGACAGACAAAAGGCAGGGAACCCAACAAGGGGGCTTCAGAATAATGTTAGTGTTAAAAGTCTGAAATGAAATTGAGACTAGGAAGGAAGGCTTATAAGTTGGGGATCTTTGGAAAAAAGAATTGACAGGACTTGATGATGAGTCACTTATAAGGAACAGAGGGAGACTGGATAGTTTCTAGCCTGAAAAGTGATGTTTCTGTAAAGTTTATAATTTTGTGTGTGTCTGTGGTGCTGAGGATCAAATCCAGGGCCTGTAGCAGGCAAAGCAAGCATGCTAGCACAGTTACAGCTCCAGCTCTACGTGATTTTACTTTCAATGGAAAACATTTATTTAGATGATACAGGATAAATGGAGTAAATACAAGCTATTCTGACTGTAATGTTAACTATCATATATAATTCAGGAAAAGAATCTAGGTGTCTCTGTCAACTCCTATAGGCACTAATGTTTTTTTTGGGGACAAAAAGGCCATTAACAATAAAGTCTCTGGAATGACCCAGCAAAACACTGTTTTATTCCTGTGTAAAATCCCAATGCATCCTCATTGTTCCTGAAGCTTCCCAAGACACAAAGTAAGGAATTACACATAATTAAGACTTTCCCACCCAGCTCAAGGATCACAAGATGAACATAAACACATTTTCAGGGGGTGAAATTAATCATACTTTACATTAGCACAGCACTCATCAGTTTAAAATGTAGTTTCATGCTGAGCTCAATGGCACATGCCTGTAATTCCAGCGGCTCAAGAGGCCGAGGCAGGAGGATCACGAGTTCAAAGCCAGCCTCAGCAACTTATCAAGGCGCTAAGCAATGCAGTGAGACTCTGTCTCTAAACAAAATACAAAAAGGGCTGGAGATGTGACTCAGTGGTTAAGTGAGTTCAATCCAGGTACCCAAATTAATTAATTAATTAATTAAATGTAGTTTCATATCCATTAATCATTCAATAAAACCTGAACAACAGCGCTCAGTACTGAACAAGGAGGGCAGAAAGACAGAGGAAGCCCAGTTCCTCTCTGAAGGAGCTAGTCTAGTTTATTTTGACAATCTTACACACTTTTATTCTGGCTTAACAATTAAGGACACTAGGGTTAAACTGGGGTTGTGAACACAAGCTCACCAGGTGTGGTACAAGCAAGTTATTTCATCTCTGTAAGGCTCAGTTTTCTGAAAGAATAGTAACATCTATGTTAGGAAATTTGAAGGTTAAGCCTATAAATAAAGTGCTTGGCTTAATGCCTTGCACATGGTAGGCATTTATTTAGTCTTTATTAAGTAGTGTACAAAGCATTTATAATTTTTTTTTTAAAGAGAGAGTGAGAGAGGAGAGAGAGAGAGAGAGAGAGAGAGTTTTTTTAATATTTATCTTTTAGTTCTCGGCGGACACAACATCTTTGTTGGTATGTGGTGCTGAGGATCGAACCCGGGCCGCACGCATTCCAGGCGAGCGCGCTACCGCTTGAGCCACATCTCCAGCCCAGCATTTATAATTTTATTTACCCTGTTTTGTTTTTTTATTTAAAACAATTTTTTTATATTTGTAGATGGACAGAATGCCTTTATTTTATTTGTTTATTTTTATGTGGTGCTAAGGATGGAACCCAGTGCCTCACATGTGCAAGGCAAGCGCTCTGCCGCTGAGCCACTGCACCCCCTCCATTTCATTTTTGTGGACCCTCTGAATCTTTTCTCAGTTTCTCTTTGTTTCTCCTTCTCTTGCCCTGAGCATTTTTTTTTTTTTTTTTTTTTTTTTTTTGCTGGTGGTGGGGCGGGGAGTAGGCTGGGGATTGAACCCAGGGACACTCAACCACTTAACTACATCCCAGTCCTTTTTAGTTTTATTTGTAGATGAAGGCTGGCCTCAAAACTTCAATCCTCTTGCCTCCATCTCTCAAGAAGGAGGGATTGCAAGTTTGCACCATCCCACCCAAAAGAGCAAACGTTAACTTCAGAGCACCATCTATCCAAGGCCAACCATTTTAAACCTCTCCCTTGCTCTGATCTTTCTGACCTACATTTTCTTGACTTTCCCCTTCCTTACCTCTCATTTTCTTTCACATCTTTCCTTTTCTCCCTCCAGACACCTTGCCTTTGGAGTCTGGAGACTCAGATTTGTTGTATGGCTGTGGAAAAACAAGTCATTTAATTACAGTAAGCTTTCACATCTGAAAAATCGAAATAATACTAGCTACAGGATTCCTTTGTGTAGACAACAAAGTGCAAAAACTGGGAAATCGCACAGCTCCTTGTGAAAGTTTGTCACTAGGATCTCTCAATTCTATTTCCTTTCGTTTTTCATCTCCTGTTCTTCCCTGGCCAATTATGGGACTAAGAAATTCTTCAAATTGAGGCCGGGTGCGGTGGAGCTCGCCTCTAATCCCAGCGGCTGAGGCAAGAGGATCACAAGTTCAAAGCCGGCTTCAGCAATTTGGGGAGGCACTACGCAACTTGCACTTGCAATGTGCAATTGTCTCAAAATAAAACAAAAAGTTCTGGGAATGTGGCTCAGTGGTTAAGCGACCCTGGGTTCAATCCCTGGAACAAAACAAAGAAATCTTCAGGTTGAGTGTTAGGATATCCTTCCAATCGGAGTGAAGACTCGAAGGCCCCGCCTTCCCTGCCTAAAAGGACCAATGAGGTCGGGCGGAGAGTGGCGCGGTCTCTCGTTTGGGGGTCGCCTCTAATGGAACCTGCACTTTTCTTCCTGCTTCCGCCCAGCCACTTTTCGCCTGGCACCCCAAACTTGGATGAAGAGTTCTTCCTCTTCCTCGTCCCATTCACCTAAATCCTGGAATCCAAAGGGTTGAGCAGTGGGGACCGGAAGTGTGCGCAGCAGCAGCGGGTCCCCAGCAAATCGCCGGAAGTAGCAATTGCTAGAGGAGGAGTCCGCCGGCTTCGTTATGGCGGCCATTCCCCCAGACTCCTGGCAGCCGCCCAACGTTTACTTGGAGACCAGGTGAGAGGGCGGGGGTCGGTCCCTGCGGCTGGACTGGCAGAGGCGACGCGGAGTCCGGGCCTCGCCTTGAGCTCGGTTTCCCGCGCTCTGCCCCAAGAGGCCAGGTTTCACGTCAAAGAGCGGGAAGCGGCGGCGGAGAAGACCCCTGAGGGCGGACGGGGGACCGCTACGCCTGCGCGCAGCGCTGCACGGGCTCATGCTGTGGGTTTGATCCCCAGTACTTCGGAGACAGCTGCTGGTTGTCGTCCTCCTTCCACCTCATTCATTCATTTACTCATTCACTCACTCATTCATTCACTCAAAGGCCAGGCAGGTAGGATCTGGAATCTGGGAATACAGAGGTGGATAAGACGCATCCCTGCCTTTAGGAGCTTACAGTAAGACCTTACGTGACACGTTGCACGGTGGTGTGAACAAATTACTATGAAAGCACAAGAAGCACGTTTTTCCCACTATCAGAGAGTGAAGTGGTAACAGTATGATCAAGCACCAACCCGCTTGTGCCATGCCTCTGATGTGTGCCATCACATTTTAGTTTAATTCTCCTACAGTTTAGATTAGATCCAAGCTACACAGCTATTAAGTGGAGGGCACCTCATTTGGATCCTGGTCCTCTTGCCTCACCTGCTAGATTCTTTAGCCCCATTCGTTCCTTTGCCTCTTTGGAAGAAACTCAGTGATCTTTCCAAAGTAGGACGAGGGAATCCTTCTCAAAAACTCTAAATAACGTCTTGCTGAGAGAGCATAAAAACTTTCTAGTCTGGCTTTTTTTTCTCTTCTGGCCCTTGCCTACCTGCTGTTCCCCTATAAGCCGCCAGGAGCCAACCAAGGTCCCTGCCTGATACTGTCTGCTACTTTCAAGCAGAGCAGAGTTCTTTGGGGGGGGGGGGGCCCCTCTGTATTTGCTGGTAGTGTTTTTGCACTGACCATCTTTTTCTTCATCTTATATGCCAAAATTTTACTTTATGCAGGCCCCAACTTGAAATTTAAGTCTCTTGTCAGTATTTTTTTTTTAAATTGCAGAATATGTTGAAAATTCAATCTAAGCAAAGTAGGGGTATAAAAAGGAGTAAAAGTCACCCTCCCCCTCAAAATAAACCTACCCTCCTATTAACTGTTAAATAACTCTCCAGATTTTGGGGGGAGGGGCCCTGGGGATTGAACCCAGGGGGCACTTTACTGCTCAGTCACATCCCCAACCCTTTTTATTTTTTATGTTGAGAAAGGGTCTCACAAAGTTGCTTGTGGCGTCTTTAAGTTGCTGAGGCTTGTCTTGAACTTGTGATTCTCCTGTCTCAGCCTCCCTAGTCCCTGGGATTACAGGGGTCTGCTACCACCCACCTGGCTCCAAATCTTTTTTAATGTATGTATAATCATCGCTGTGTTTTATCCTCTTAACAAAATTGGGGCCATAGGTCATATATTTTTTTCAGTAATTTTTATTTAAAAAATTTTTTTTTTTTCTCAGTAACAACATGTAGTTTTCCATAGTATGGATAGTTCCATATTTTAGAAATTTTCTTTTTCAGGGACATTTAAGTTGCTTCTGTTTGTTTGCTAGGACAAATACTAAAATGAACATCTTTGAACATATTATAACCTTAGAAACTTTTATAAGTTTTCTTGGAGAAAAGTCTGGGTGGGTGATGATGTGTAGGAGAAGACTCCTTTCCTACCTTCATTATCCTTAGGAATACTGGGGAGGAATAAAAGCATTTATCACATTGGGTAGGTGCAAAGGTTTGAAGTCATCAGGTTTTGTGTTCACTTATGCCCTCCCAAACACACAGACTATACCTGTGTGTGTGTGTGTGTGTGTGTGTGTGTGTGTGTTGCTGAGATTGAACTCAGGGCCTTGCCCATGATAGGCAAGCCCTCTACCACAGAGCTACATCTCCAAACCTTTTTCTTTTTTGAGACAGGGTGTTGCTAAGTTGGCAAGGATGGCCTTGTACTTGGATCCTCCTGCCTCAGCCTCTTATTACAGGTGTGCACCACCATGCCCAGTTTTATTTTTCTACTAAAAGATATTAAGGTTGGTAATCTATACATGTGGATCAAAAATAGGGAAATTTAGGTTGGGCATGGTGGCCTAAACACAGTGTATTCCATCCAGAAACTTAGGCAAATATAAATAAATCTGAACAAAATTTTTTGTTCAGATTTATTTATATTTAATGTCATTTTAACAAAATTTTTTTTTAAATAGAGAGAGAGAATGAATTTTTTTAATATTTATTTTTTAGTTCTTGGCAGACACAACATCTTTGTTTGTATGCGGTGCTGAGGATCGAACCCGGGCCGCGCGCATGCCAGGCAAGCACGCTACCGCTTGAGCCACATCCCCAGCCCATAAAATTTTAATAAAATTTACAAATAAAGTACAAGATTTTTTTTTCCTAAAAGAAGTACCAGAAATCCCAGCATATTTTATTAAAAGGAGATCATCTGTGTTTGTGTTATTTGCATTTATGTTCTTGTGTTTGAGTATGAAATCTTGTGGTTATCACAATTTCATGATTTACAAGATTGAAAATCAAAAATCCTTGCCAGGCACAGTGGTGCATGCCTGTAATCCCAGCGAGACTGAGACAAGAGAATCGAAAGTTCAAAGCCAGCCTCAGTGAGACCCTGGGGATGTGGCTCAGTGGTTGAGTACCCCAAGTTCAACCCCCGGTACCAAAAAAAAAAAAAGTGAAGTGCTAAGCAACTCAGTTAGACCGTGTCTCTAATAAAATATATAAAGGGCTGGGGATGTGGCCCAGTGGCCAAGTACCCCAGTGCCCCTGAGTTCAATCCCAGGTTCCCAAAATAAAAGAATCCTAGAGCAGCTCCATGATATTCTTCTGTTGGCCATGATCTTGGGTTTTTTCCTTCTTCTTCTTCCTCCTCCTCTTCCTTCTCCTCCTCTTCTTCCTTTTTTTTTTAATACTTTTTTTGGTTATAGATGGACACAATATCTTTATTTTTACTTGTTTATGTGGTGCTAGGGATTGAACCCAGGGTTTCACGCACGTGAGGCAAGCGCTCTACCACTGAGCTACAACCCCAGCCCCTGCCTGTTTTTGTTGTTGTTGTTGTTATTTTGATTCCAAGGATTGGACTTTACTTTCTCAAGCAGTAAGTCACATCTCTAGCCCTTTTTATTTTTTATTTTGAGACAGGCCTTGTTAAGTTGTTGAGGCTGGCCTTGAATTTACAGTCCTTCTGCCTCAGCCTCCCAATGGCTGGGATTCCAGTTGGGTGCCGCCACACCTGGCTTGTGATCTTGTGCTCGACTGGCGTTGTGTTCTTTTTCCTTGCAGCATGGGAATCATTGTCCTGGAGCTGTACTGGAAGCATGCTCCGAAGACCTGTAAGAACTTCGCTGAGTTGGCTCGTCGAGGTTACTACAATGGCACCAAATTCCACAGAATTATCAAAGATTTCATGATCCAGGGCGGTGACCCAACAGGGACAGGTACAGTGAAGCTAATGTTAGTTTCTGGGTCTTTCTCTCATAACTGAGTGCTAAGGCAGCCAGGGTTTTCTTTCCCATTTACATGGGTCTGGGTTGATTGATTTTGGTGACAATTCCTGCCTTCCCCAAACAAATGTGGAATTGACCAGAAACTAATTTTGACTCCTGGGCATGATAGTTTTCATACCTTCTGTGTGTTTTTCAGCAAGAGCAGATAATATTTGCCTAGACTGTAGTGACGCGTAGAGCAATCTGATCAATCAAAAGTTAAAATTTTAAAAAGATATACAGTGTGTTGAAAAGAGTGAAATATTGGGTTCCTTCATTGGCTCTTTCGTTGAACAGATATTGAGCTCCTGCTTTGTGTCAGATGCTTTTCTAGCTGTGGTGAGATAGCTGTGAATAAAGAGAAGAGTTCTCGCTCTCAATGAACTGGGAAAGGAGTATGGGCATACAATTTTAGAGAAACAGTCAAAGATTTGAGATGTTATTGGAGCAGAGATCTGAAGGAGGAAAGAGAATGAACCTTGAGATAGGAGAGAAAATTCTGGGTGAATTGAAGAGCAGGTGCAGGGCCCCTGAGGCAGGAGTCTATGTAGACCTTGTAGAAACTGGTAGAGATTTTGGGTTTTATTTTGAGTAAGATAGGAACTGTTTAGAGTTTTGATAAAGGAATGACATGATCTGACATATGTTTTAAAAGGACCACTCTGGAGAACAGATGAAGGGAAAAGAATTGGAGTCAAGATCAGTTAGGAGTTTGCTGTCTACCAAAAATGGTTGAAGTAGGCTGTTAATAGATAAGGTGGTGAAAAGTCATTGGATTCAGGCTTCTTTTTGTTTGTTTTTGTGGGGAGGTTGATACTAGAGATTGAACCCAGGGGTACTTTACCACTGAGCCACACCCCAATCCTTTTTATTACTTATTTATTTTTAATTTTTTAAATTTTTATTTTGAAACAGGATCTCACTAAGTTGCTTAGGGCCTCCCTTAGTTGCTGAAGCTGGCCTCAAGCTTGCAATCCTCTTCGAAGGCCTTCGAAGTCTCTGCGACTACAGGAGTGTGCCACCGTGCCTAGCTGGATTCAGATTAGTTTTAGATAGAGCTGATGGGATTTGTTGACAGATTGGACAAGTGGTGTGAGAGAAGGAAATGGTCAATGGTCAAGGATGACTTCAAAGATTTTAACCTGAATAGTGAAATGGAGCAGGCTGGTAGAGAAGCAGATTTGGAGGAGAAAGATCAAGAATTTAGTTTTGGACACATTCTATTTGAAATACTCAGTAATCTTCGGGAATGTTGAATAAGTAGTTGGATATGAATTTGGAGTCCAAGGAAAGAGCTGCCATAAAGATATGAATTTGGAACTTGTGGATTTTAAGTGGGCTTTATTAGCGAAACGGGTGGAATGCTTACTCATTTCAAAACCCTTGCTTCTCAATTTGCTTGTTGTCTGCTAATTCCTGTTCTTTGCCTTTAAACAGTCTTGGTTTTCTCTGTGCAGAATCTTGTCTCACTCTTATTATTCTTTGCCATTCTTTTTTTTTTTTTTTTAAAGAGAGAGAATTTTTTTTAATATTTATTTTTTAGTTTTCGGCGGACACAACATCTTTGTTTGTATGTGGTGCTGAGGATCGAACCCGGGCCGCATGCATGTCAGGCGAGCGCGCTACCACTTGAGCCACATCTCCAGCCCCTCTTTGCCATTCTTAATTGTCCTTTATGTCAGAACTAACCCTTTTTTCAATGTACATGGACACATTTCAAAAATACATGGGGTTGGGGTTGTGGCTCAGCGGTAGAGTGCTCGCCTAGCATGTGCAAGGCCCTGGGTTCAATCCTCAGCCCTGCATATAAATAAGTACATAAATAATATAAAGGTATTGTGTCCAACTACAACTAAACAATAAATATTTTTTAAAAATACAAAATACACAGGAAAAAAAGAAAAATTGCTCAAAAGCAAAGCTCCTAAAACTTTCTAACCACTATTGGCTTATCTCCTAATATCCTTCTGCTGAGAAATGTGCACTGTTGGCTTTTGGAGGCGCCATTCTAGATGTCTTTCTTTTCAGATATCTAGTTAGGAGTATGCAGGGAAGGCTGAGTCTGTAGCTTAGTGGTGGAACACTTGCCCAAGGCCCTAGGTTCAGTCCCCTGCACCAAAAAACAAAGGATGAATGATAACCATTTAGCATAGATAATTTCAAGAGAATGGGATATTTCTTTATGCTTTTTTTTTTTTAAGCATGATAGTGTAATGGTTTAAGTCCCTCTTAGTTCAGGGCCACACATGTAATGTCCCTGGCCCTTCCTCTGGGAGCATACCTGAGCTTGTGGCCATGATACGGTGGTTGGGAGATGGTGGAGTGCAGTACTGCCTCCCTCTTAGGCATGTGGCATGCAGCTGGGTGCAGCTGGGGAGTGTATTCTGCATCCTGTTGCACGTGAACCAAGGCGATGTCCGATGTCCCTGTTCTACTGACATCATTCCTACTCAGCCTTCATGTATGAACACACTCTGTATGCTATTTTTAAAACAAATAGTGGTATATGTAACTTTGTGTATATTTGATTTTGTTTCTTTTAATTTTGTATATATTTAACTATATTTTGTTAACTAAAAAAAAGTGACTTCCTCTATGAAGGATGAGGCAATTAGTAATTAAAAGTTTCTTATTCCTAATTTTTGTTGGTAATTTTATTTTGTTTTCTATACTGTAACTCAGCTACAGTGTGCATTCTATTTCAGGGGTTCTGTGCCCACCACTTTGATATCTTCACATGTGCTAGAGGAAAGGATTTTGTGTCTTCTTTTTCTTTTCTTTTTTAAATTTTGAGACTGGGTCTTGCTAAATTGCTAAGGGTGGCTTTGAACTTGTGATTCTCCTGCCTCAGCCTCCTAAATTGCTGGAATTTTGGGCTTTATGGCACCCACCCAGCAAGATTTCTTATCTATTGGTTTTTATTGCAAGAGCTGGAGGTTATTATATTTTTTTAATTGGCTTCTGTTTGAGAATTTTCTGTATTTATTTCGGTACAGGGGTTGAACCCACGGGTGGTTTACCACTGAGCTATATCCCAACCTTTTTAAGTTTTTATTTTGAGACATCTCACTAAGTTGCTAAGGCTGGCCGTAAACTTTCCATCCTACCTCAGCCTCTCTCAACCTCCCAGAGTCACTGGGATTTCAGGCCTTACTTCACCCAGTTGTTTGTGAATTTCTGCATATTCCCTTTATACTTGAAAAAGACCATGACTAGGTATAGTATTATTCTTGGGCCACATTCATTGCCTTAGATCTTTTCAGACAATTCTGATCCATTGCCTTCTGGGTTTGAGCACAGTTTTGGAAAATTCTGAGGCCAGATTTACTCCTTCCTTTGATTCAAAGGGAAATTTCTTTTTTCTTTTTAATATATATTTTTTTAGTTGTAGATGGTCACAATACCTTTATTTTATTTATTTATTTTTTAGGTGGTGCTGAGGATGGAACCCAGGGCCTCTCACGTGCTAGGCAAGCGCTCTACCGCTGAGCCCCAGCCCACACATTTCTTTTGTGGGAAAAAGATGGCTTTTCTCTTTCTGCGCTACCTTTACTAAAAGAGTCCCAAACCCTCACTCTGCCTCACTCAGTTTTCAGTCATGTCTGTTCTTTGCTGCTCTAATTTATTTATTACCTCTTTATTGGTATCTATTGGATCTCAATTTGTGTCCTTAGCACTGCAATATTTTCACCTTACTCTGTGATTTGTTGTCTTCTCTTTGAGCTTTAGTTTTATTTGATTCTCATTCCTACTGAATCATTGTATCTTGAGACAGCCGCAAAGAAGCCACTTCTCAGGACATTTTCTCCCGCGCTGAATTCCTGAGGTATTTTGTCCTTCCTCCCTTCCCTCTTTCTGTCCTCCCTTTTGTTGTGGTTGTTTGCAGTTTCTGTGCCTGTTCTTTCCAGGTTAATTTTCGCACCTGTGTTGAGCCTGCCTTCCTCTGCTCAGGGACAGTGTAAGTGGAGTTTCCTGTCATTCTCCCCATATATGTGGGCCAGATGTTTCCCCCACTCCAAATGCTAGGGTGCTCATCTCCATCTTCTCCTAGCCTGAAGAGCGTTGGGGAGCCTCTTGTGGAAGGGCTTGCCTCTGATCTGCCTTTCAGACTCCCCCAACCCTGTCCCAGGGCTTTCTCTACCAGCCAGTGGTGACCTTCTTCCTCCACTCTGACTCATCCATTCCTCAAGTGCCCTAGAAAGTGGCCAGCCCTAGTTGCCCACCACGTCTGAGCCCCTGGGATGTATGTGGGTGACTGCCCTCCAGGGCTGTGCCGCGCTGTGTGGGGGTCGCTGGCTCATTCCCTCTGCTGGCTTCTCAGAGTTGGAGGGTATCTGTGGGAATTCTCAGGAGGACACTCCTTTCCTGTTATGATCTTAGGTAGTGCAGGCGGGAGAGTCTTCTATTTCTTTTCTTGGCTGACTCTTTTCAGAATTTTTAGAATGTTTTTTTTATTTGGCTGATGCTGGTGAACTTTTGGATTTTTAAATTTTCATCATTCTCTGTTCCCTTCTCTGGTTATTGAGTGGAGGCAGGGTCTAATCCTCCCTCAGTCCACTTTATCTGAAAACGTTCTGCCAGTACCTCAGTGACCTCTTCCTATCTTCTTCCTTTCTTCCTCGAATTGCGATAATGAAATGAATTTTAATTCATAACACCAATGAACTGAGAAGTATGTGGTTAGTGTATAAGAATTGGAAATGACTCAGACACGAGTTGCTCATGCCAGAGCTCCCCTGTATTTTTGTACTTGGTTTGCGATCCTTCCTAATGTCACATTTCCATGATACAGTTTTAATGAAATTGAATCACAAGAAGATTTCCAAATAACTGCATCCAGCCTCAAGTATAATGAGTGTTTGAGCAGCTGCCAGAAGGTCTGTGATAAAAAACAAACAGAAGGTAGCCTTCCTGGGTCACTGGATCATGCCTGCTTGCTGAGTAGGTGACAC